ATATCTATTGGAAATGAGAGTTAGTGGTCACAGGTACGGAGGATGCATAGTACTTGTGCAAGTACTACAAAAAGATAGATTTTAAGCAACGAATCACGTAAAAATGTAACGCGAACGTTGAAAGCACCGCGTTCCGGCCGCTTCATTCTACCTAGGACTCCCATGCAGGTTTGACTCCACACCGTTTTCAAGTTGTCCCAGTGCTTTTCGACGCCGACCTCTTCGCTGGTGTTGATTTGTGCCTCGGCTTTGTCCCTTATATTTGCAACGAACATGTCCTTTGTGGCCTGGTCCTTCAGTTTTTGAGTGTTGAACTTGGCTTGTGGTCTGTCTGAAGCTCCTCCTTCTCTGAAAGCTTTTAGTTTGATTTGGATTGTCCCTTGTACAAGATAGTGGTCCGAGCCAACGTCTGCTCCTCTTCTTACTTTTGTGTCCAGTAGGCTGCGCCTCCACTTCATTGAGATTGAGATGAAGTCAATTCGGTTTTTGGTTCGCTCATCTGGTGACACCCATGTAGCCTTGTGGATATCTTTGTGTTTGTATACGCTGCCACCAATCACTGGTTCAATGAAGGCGCAGAAGTCGGCGAAGAGTCCTCCATTTTCGTTCACTTCTCCGAGAGCTTCTCTACACATGATGAGTTCCCTTCCTGTGTTGTCTGGTCCCAGTTTGGCGTTCATGTCTCCCATTAGTATTTTAATGTAACCAGCTGGAGTATTGTCCATTGTTGCCTTCAGTTGTCGGTGGAATTCTTCTCTGAGCTGGTTGGTATGGTTGCGGTTTTCTCGTCGTCCTTCTGGACAACATCTTCAACGCAATATTTAGCATAAGGTGAAATGATTTGAATTTCTTCATGAGTGATATAATTGCGCCTCCCCTCAACCATCTTTGCATTTGTATTGACGCTTTCCTATTGACTTGGATTTTAAACTTTCTGGTCACCTGGTCAATACATATGTAAAGATGGTTACGGGGAGACGCAATTATATCACTCATGAAGAAATTTAAATCATTTCACTTCATAATAATAATAATAATAATAGTATATTCTCATTTTGTACATGAGAGACGCCAGTTTACAGGCATCATCAATATGATAAATTACATATACGATTAGCAATCATAATTAATAATAATGTTTTAATAAAGTACACATTTTTTCCTACTTGTGTAGGACACACCAAATATACAGGCATGGATAAGCATTAATTAAATTTCATAAATTCGGTTTATGGTTAAGTTACATGGTTGCTGGCGTTTTTGTTTTAATAATAATTATAATAATGTATATTCTCATATAAACATATAAATTTACATGAAAATGCATGCCATTTTTTTAGGTCTGTGGGAACAATATGATAACCAGTCATTCAATGGAGCACATCATGAAATATAGGAATATTGACTTCGCATTAACAAAAAAACCCAAGTAAGTTTTGGATGGATTAAAAATACTTGGGAAAAAATAAAGCTTGAAGTTATTCCACAATATAACAAGTCATTCAATGGAGCACATCATGAAATATAGGAATATTGTCTTCGCATTAACAAAAAAACCCAAGTAAGTTTTGGATGGATTAAAAATACTTGGGAAAAAATAAAGCTTGAAGTAATTCCTCAATATAACCTGGGTGTGTACAAATCCGAATCTCATTTTTGATTTGATTTATATCCAAATTGGGTAATAAGGAAGCTATTTTTACAGATACGATCAGTTATGTTATAAGCTACAATCGTGAAGTTGTATTACAAATTGATACTTTTCCATTGGTATAAGAGTATATTCCACAAATGTAATCCAGGTTGCGTCGTGGAGAAAGTTAATTCGTTATTAACCAGGCAACTGAAAGATACGGGACCAATAATGTTTGCAGATCATTTGTCATTGTAAATGGTCAAATATCCACATTATTCATTCTCATTCAAAAAGTCAAATGGAAGCTGAAATGGTGAGAGAAAAAAGAAGACAAACAACAGCAACGCAAAAGAAAGCAACGGGAGTCCTTAAGGAGTGATTAATAAATATATACATATATATTCTGTTTAGTAACTGTGGTTATTTTGGTACACAAACTAACTAGTCCCGTTATGCTAACTTTTATATTATGTGTGAACTAATATTACTGTCCTGTGTAGAAATGTTAATCATCTAGTTCCAATAATATTAAAATTTATAATTGTAGTTTGCTGTAACTACACGTTTAAACAACTTAAAATATCTATGTAGGGTGAAAAAGAGGGTGTAAGAGTCAGACGTATAAGTGCATTGTCATCTTTGAGCAGTCTGGTGACTGAGGAGATGAACACTGGAAGTGTGTTTGCATCGCGCACATTAGCTGGTAGTCTATTCCAAATGACTGAAAACTTATTTAAGAAGAAGTTGTACCGCACGTAAGTCTGACAGTGCTCCATAGCAGCTAGGTTGTGATGATTTCTAAGATTGTAACTGATGACAGCGGTAGGTTTAGTTATTGGCTCGGAGGAATGCAAGAGAAGATTAGTTAGCTTATAGTAAAAGATAAGGTTTAGCTTAAGGCGTCTTTTCCAGAGGGGTTCTAATCTTAGTCTTACGCATCGCTCATGGTATTCCAGACCACTTTCTAAACCAAGAGTTCTTGAGGTAAACTGCCGTTGCACTCCCTCTAATTTAAGCTTGTCATTTTGTCTTAGTCCGCTAAGAATAAACGGGCAGTATTCTAAGATAGGTCGGACACATACTTTGTATAATAAAACCCTAGTTTCACAACAAAAGAAATTGCGTGTTATGCATCCTATCAGCCTTCGCGTTTTACGTCTGGCATAATCAGTCTGTTCAGCGAACGTTAGGTTACTAGAGTATCTAATACCGAGATCTACGACTGAATTGAGCTTAGCTAGTTTTCGCCCATTTATTTCAAGGTTTAGATCAAGCTTACTGTTGCCGATACAAATCCAGCCGCATTTGTCAATGTTAAAATTTAGACAGGATTCAGCACACCACGTTGCAAGGCTACTTAGTTCAAGATGTATTTTAGTAACCATATCGCTTAATTCATGAGTGTAGCAGGAGTAGACGACTTTGAGGTCGTCAGCATATAGGAATGGTTTACCTGAGGTGAAGCACTTGCAAATGCTGTTAATGTAAACTGTGAATAAAAGTGGACCTAGGACACTACCTTGCACGACCCCACTTGAGATCTGCCTAGGATGAGACAATACAGATCCAACTTTGGTTATTTGTACCCTGTTGCTTAGAAATGATTTTAACCAGTTCAGTAATGGGTTGCGAATTCCACAAGAGTACAGCTTCTCAAAGAGAATACTGTGAGATACCATGTCAAATGCCCTAGATATATCGAAGTATAGAACAACGACTAGCTTACGTGCTTCGCGATTACTAGTGATGCAGTTGAAAAAGTCGAAGTGGCAAGTAACGCAGGATCTATTTTTGAGAAATCCGTGTTGAGACCTTGTAACAAGATCCTCCCTAATTAGGTAGTCTGACAATTGATCTTTACAACTTTCTCCATGATTCGTGAGATAACTGGGGTTATATTTATGGGTCTGTAATTGCGGACGTTTGCCCTATCACCAGATTTGTAATGTGGAATTATGAAGCTAGTTTTCCACTCACTAGGGTAAGTGCCAGTGTCCATAGATATTGAGAAGAATTTAAGAAGTAACAGGGTATATCACACCCACTGTTTTTGAAAATTATCGAAGCGAGGCCATCCGGTCCCGTACTAGTGGAAGGTTTAAGGCTTTTAATTGCTTGTACTATTAGTTGATTAGTGAACACAATGCTTTCAAGGGAAGAGATAGTAAGGGGAGCGGTTTCACCAGGCATATGTGTTTCTAAACTAAAGTTTGCAAACCAATCACTGAAAGTTCACAGATAGTGGCAGGTTCATTGTAGATTACTTTGTCGTGAAGTAAGTATGGGATTTCCCTCGCTGACTGCATTCGTTTTTTAAGAAGTGCCGTTAAGTTATAAACTTTGGAGGTACTTTCAAGTGCCGTTAACTCTTCGTCGAGGTCCTTTTGAGAACGTAGGCGCTTGATAGATTCAAGAGACTCGTGGATTGAGAGCAATAGTGATATGTCCTTAGTGGAATAGTACTGTTTCTTCAGTTTCCTTAACTTATTACGGTGTGCCCTTGGAATATATTCAGTTCGGTGTCTACTTAATTTCACTATTTTATTTGGGGCAACTGTATCTAGACAAAGGGTAACATTCCTGTAAAACAGGGTTACTAAGGCCTCCAGGGAGTCAGTGGTAAAATAGTCATCCCATTGACAGAGTCGAATAAGTTCTTGGACTAATCCCCAGTCTGTATATTTGTAACTACGACATATTGTGCTTCCTGAGTCTTGTTTGTTTCCTGTATTTAGTGGTGAGAAAGGCAGAGAGCAGAGTACCATTCTATGGTCACTACTGGAAAATCTATTACCAACATAGTGGATACTGGGATTGTGTCATGACAAAAAACAAGGTCCAAATGTTGTCCCCACGAGTAGGTGTCTGGACGTGTTGTTGCCATCCATAACAGTCTATAGTGGCAAGTAATTCGTCGAAGCGTTGGGGGCCGGAACTAGTTAGCCAATTGACTTCTGGAAGATTGAAGTCCCCTGCAATTATTTTGTAATTAGCACTAAACGAGGATGCGTGTGCAAACGATTTAGCTAATAACGCATCAGTTTCTTTTGTTGCGCTTGGTGCTCGATAAACACAGCCTATGAGAAGTTTGTACTTATCTCCATGTAAGACAACCCAGAGTGAGTCAGGTACATTATTCATTGTTTCATCTTCCACCTTACTGACTACAAATGAGTTATGTATATATATGAGACATCCTCCACCACGCTTGCAATCTCTGTTTGCACGGTGTACAGTGTAATCATCGATACCTATATGCACATCAAGTACTGAGGATGAGCACCATGACTCAGTAATCAGAGCTACAGTAGGCTTGGCGACTAATAATAATGTCCTTAGTTCAGATATCTTATTGATTAAGGAGCGTGCATTAATTAGCAATATCGTGAATAAGTCACGGGATACTACAAACTGGCTTAAAATGTCACCATAACCTAAATCTATTTGTGCGTCAGCACCGCAAGAATTTATGAATGAAAAGGAGGTCGGACTGGGTGTCTGCACATCGGAGTTGGTGTGCAATGAGGTGGTCCTAGGTGCCATGGGTCGTACCAGTGATTCAGGACACCTGGAAAATTTACCATGTGTTCCTGGATATAAGGGTAGTACAGGTTGGGCCTAGGTTGACGGTTAAAAGGCATAGCATCAGAAGGTCTACCCATCCAACTGCTATTCGTCATACCGGTATACACCTTCGGGTTGTTTTTATAACTTAAAGGGAATTGTGAAGGAAGGTGCTTTGGCTGCAAGACTTTAGGAGTCTTGGAGCCTGACTTTCTATAAGGTGGAGCATGCGGAACACCTCCAGATGTACTTATGTTTCGAGAGGAGTTTTTCGTAACAAGTGATGGTTTGTTGGCATTCTTACTCTCAGCAGGCTTATTGAATACAAAGTATTCTTCCCCATCATTAGTCTCAACCCTGCGAAATTTGTTCATCGTGGTGAGGTTACTACGTTTGGGGGGAAATTTCTTAGAACAACTTGCAGAAGTTCTAGTCATTTTAACATCTTTCGATGAGGCTTTGTTTACAGGGGTACTGGTATCTAAATCAGTTCCTAGTTCCATTGGCAAGTGTGGTTGTTGTGTAGTTTGCTGAATGCTAGTTTCAGCACTAGGTGTCTGTTGCTGTGCACGATCCTTTTTTGGTAAATCTAAGCTAGAGGAGGTGACCAGGTTATTACTACGCATTATTCTGCGCTGACACGGTGTTTTATCCTGAGCTACGGTTATAGACTTATAACTGCTATTCAGTCTTAAGTGATCCTGACATTTAGTAAACTTACTAGCATCAAGGGAATTACTGAATTTAAAAATGATTGGGCAATTAGCCTGGTTAGACTTTTTACGAAGTCGTTTGCATTCACATGGAACACTAGCCATGCCGCAACAAATCAGGATTTTGTGTCTTACAGTTTTCAGGGGCAGAGAATCTGGGACGTTGTAAACTATAGCTTGGTGAGAAGAGGTTATACGCTTCATCACCTCCGTAGCCAAGCAGTCAATCAGATTTTCAGCTTTATTTAGGTTGTCTGGAGATATTTTAGGATGCCTTTCTAAAAGACAGGCTATTGGGTCTAAATTCAAAAGCTTATTTTGAGTTACATCCAGTAAACACTTAACCTGGCCAATATCAGAACGGCTCTCCGTGGTATTTGAGATTGGCAGTGACATACTATCAAACTGATCTAATTTTTTCTGAATTTCACTTACTTGCCTCTGCATATCTTTCAAAAGGAGGTTTAGTTTACAGAACTCAGAGTTCTCTAACAGAACATCTTTCACCTGTATCACAGGAGTGAGATCTGCACTCAAACCATTTTGAGAGCTAGTAGTTGATACTGTATTACGAGGCGGTAATGCAGTTATAACCGAATTTAAGCCACTATCTAAAACAATTGTGTTTCTACGAACACGTTTTTTAGAGATTTGGACCATAATTTCAAGAATTATATGACAATAAGCAGTAAATAAATTTCAGAGCAAACACGTGCAAAAATGTCACCGATTTCGAATGCTAAATATTGCGCTGAAGATGTTGTCCGGAAGGACGACGAGAAAACCCCAGCTAAACCAACCGGCTCAGAGAACACTATCGATTGCTTATAACCGTTGTCTCTCACCTACATTTCTCTCCATCAGAATTGTTTGGACACCAGTTTTACAGGGGATTGGGTTCGTTGCTTTTTACTTTGATTAACCATAACTATTGGAAATGAGAGTTAGTGGTCACAGGTATGGAGGATGCATAGTACTTGTGCAAGTACTACAAAAAGATAGATTTTAAGCAACGAATCACGTAAAAATGTAACGCGAACGTTGAAAGCACCGCGTTCCGGCCGCTTCATTCTACCTAGGACTCCCATGCAGGTTTGACTCCACACCGTTTTCAAGTTGTCCCAGTGCTTTTCGACGCCGACCTCTTCGCTGGTGTTGATTTGTGCCTCGGCTTTGTCCCTTATGTTTGCAACGAACATGTCCTTTGTGGCCTGGTCCTTCAGTTTTTGAGTGTTGAACTTGGCTTGTGGTCTGTCTGAAGCTCCTCCTTCTCTGAAAGCTTTTAGTTTGATTTGGATTGTCCCTTGTACAAGATAGTGGTCCGAGCCAACGTCTGCTCCTCTTCTTACTTTTGTGTCCAGTAGGCTGCGCCTCCACTTCATTGAGATTGAGATGAAGTCAATTTGGTTTTTGGTTCGCTCATCTGGTGACACCCATGTAGCCTTGTGGATATCTTTGTGTTTGTATACGCTGCCACCAATCACTGGTTCATTGAAGGCGCAGAAGTCGGCGAAGAGTCCTCCATTTTCGTTCACTTCTCCGAGAGCTTCTCTACACATGATGAGTTCCCTTCCTGTGTTGTCTGGTCCCAGTTTGGCGTTCATGTCTCCCATTAGTATTTTAATGTAACCAGCTGGAGTATTGTCCATTGTTGCCTTCAGTTGTCGGTGGAATTCTTCTCTGAGCTGGTTGGTATGGTTGCGGTTTTCTCGTCGTCCTTCTGGACAACATCTTCAACGCAATATTTAGCATAAGGTGAAATGATTTGAATTTCTTCATGAGTGATATAATTGCGCCTCCCCTCAACCATCTTTGCATTTGTATTGACGCTTTCCTATTGACTTGGATTTTAAACTTTCTGGTCACCTGGTCAATACATATGTAAAGATGGTTGCGGGGAGACGCAATTATATCACTCATGAAGAAATTTAAATCATTTCACTTCATGCTAAATATTGCGCTGAAGATGTTGTCCGGAAGGACGACGAGAAAACCCCAGCTAAACCAACCGGCTCAGAGAACACTATCGATTGCTTATAACCGTTGTCTCTCACCTACATTTCTCTCCATCAGAATTGTTTGGACACCAGTTTTACAGGGGATTGGGTTCGTTGCTTTTTACTTTGATTAACCATAACTATTGGAAATGAGAGTTAGTGGTCACAGGTACGGAGGATGCATAATACTTGTGCAAGTACTACAAAAAGATAGATTTTAAGCAACGAATCACGTAAAAATGTAACGCGAACGTTGAAAGCACCGCGTTCCGGCCGCTTCATTCTACCTAGGACTCCCATGCAGGTTTGACTCCACACCGTTTTCAAGTTGTCCCAGTGCTTTTCGACGCCGACCTCTTCGCTGGTGTTGATTTGTGCCTCGGCTTTGTCCCTTATGTTTGCAACGAACATGTCCTTTGTGGCCTGGTCCTTCAGTTTTTGAGTGTTGAACTTGGCTCGTGGTCTGTCTGAAGCTCCTCCTTCTCTGAAAGCTTTTAGTTTGATTTGGATTGTCCCTTGTACAAGATAGTGGGCCGAGCCAACGTCTGCTCCTCTTCTTACTTTTGTGTCCAGTAGGCTGCGCCTCCACTTCATTGAGATTGAGATGAAGTCAATTTGGTTTTTGGTTCGCTCATCTGGTGACACCCATGTAGCCTTGTGGATATCTTTGTGTTTGTATACGCTGCCACCAATCACTGGTTCATTGAAGGCGCAGAAGTCGGCGAAGAGTCCTCCATTTTCGTTCACTTCTCCGAGAGCTTCTCTACACATGATGAGTTCCCTTCCTGTGTTGTCTGGTCCCAGTTTGGCGTTCATGTCTCCCATTAGTATTTTAATGTAACCAGCTGGAGTATTGTCCATTGTTGCCTTCAGTTGTCGGTGGAATTCTTCTCTGAGCTGGTTGGTATGGTTGCGGTTTTCTCGTCGTCCTTCTGGACAACATCTTCAACGCAATATTTAGCATAAGGTGAAATGATTTGAATTTCTTCATGAGTGATATAATTGCGCCTCCCCTCAACCATCTTTGCATTTGTATTGACGCTTTCCTATTGACTTGGATTTTAAACTTTCTGGTCACCTGGTCAATACATATGTCATCAAAGTCTCATAAACCGTTAATGCCCAGCTCTCGCTACGCTCGGGCCCACGCTGTTCTTAGAAGATTTCTGAGAAACGCTTAGTAACAACGGACGAAAAAACCAGAACACCAATTGTTGACTTGAGTATTATGTATTGTTACACCAGCATATAAATCAAGTATCACTAAGCAAACTAAGAAAACTAAGGTCTGTAAACAAATATTACAATAATAAATCGTTATGTTACTTCTGACGATATTTAACTCTTCTTTCTGAACAGCGACCGATGAGACGATGACTGTCGTATTGATGCCTCCGCGAAAATCGAGGAAGTTGATTTTGAGCAAACAACCAAGAATTGATCGTTCAATCTTCAACTCCATTGACACTCCCCGGCAAAAAAGGGATCCAACCCTTTTTTCCTTCACGACCAATGCACGTCGACTTGGATACCATTGCGAGAACCTGGGTCACACGGACAGAGCTGAAATGGAAAACAAACAGGAAAGCCAACACACCACAAGCATACCCACAGCACAATCTCACACATCGCTGACGACCTGCGCCTCCAGACAGAGACCTCCTCTTGACATCTTGCAACACAATCGCCACTTACTAGAATGACTCTTGCAGAATGCAACGTGACCATAGCAGCACCTCATGATACTCTTCAAGCATCCTCTTTTCTATTCACTATCAATTATCACTGAAATCGCTTTTCACTCATTCTGCCTCAGTTCTAGTAGCGGTGACGCATGCGAGCCTCAGTCGTTTACACTCTTTCTCCCCGGCGTGTCGGACCGCAGCTAACAATTATCTCCGTGTGCATTTCATTCTCAGCAATAGCCTAGCCTCCCCGGCGTATACGACCCATCTGCTGTCCTTAACATCAATCAATTCATTCACGAACGTAGAAGACTAGAAACAACTTCAGAAGTAATCACGACGAAAATTTTAACAAAATTATGCAATAACAACAAGACACGAAAACAACGAGTAAACACAATGAATTCAAATAACACCAATTGATATGACACACCAAACGTATATACAAACAGTACACACAAACTCGCATTTCATGTCTTGATGGAATACCCTTGAAGAATTGCAGGACTTACACCAGTACGCCTACAACCCTTCACAGGTTGACGATTGTAAGTTGTGGAATGTCCAGACACAAACAAGATTAACCAACAATTACATCAATTGGAACTCACACAACTATTTAACACAAACATATGTACAATCAACACATCAAATGTTGTGGATCCTGACACGACAAACTACCCTTGAAGAACTGTAGGACTTACAGCAGTACGCCTACATTCCTTCTCAGGTTGATGATCCAAGTGAAAGTCGTCCGGACACAAACAGAATTACCAACAGCTAGATGATAAATGATATCAATTCAGTATATACAATATGAACATATGTACAAGATCATACACCAAGCACATTGGACTGCTCATTGATGCGCTACCCTTTGAAGAACTGTAGGACTTACAGCAGTACGCCTACAACCCTTCTCAGGTTGACGCCCTAGGTTGGAAAATCGTCGCATAGTTCATTTGCTAACTTCCTTCTATCAGCTATATCCT